TAAACTTTCATACACTTTTAACAACAAAAAAAAGACCAATAATGCTTTATTTGTTAAAATGAATAAATGATACACAAAATCAACATTTGATACATTAATAATAATTATCAACAGTTCTATCTCATTATTTAAATTTTAACTTTTTGATACATGAGTCGTAATAAATGATGTTTAATTACATATTTCATATTCTGCAATTACAGAAAGGTAAATGATGTTGATCAATAACTAAATCGATAAATGATGCATACATAACTAAAAGGGAAATATCATAATTGATTCAAACTATTATGTTTCAGATCATTTTATACTTAGTATACTAAAATTGCATGACTGATACAGAAAATCATATTACTTCTGTATATACATTGGTTTCTATTTAAACATGATACAAAATGTTAACTAACAGATATGTTAAATTCTGTCTTCGCATCATTCATGTGCATATCTACGAATATGATACATTGTACAACAAATAACCTCTATATCATACAATGAATTGAACGCCTATCTTAGATATAATTCTCAGCACACAAAATTTGCCTTAAACTAGTGTTTCATCTACAAATGTAAAACAAATACTTATTTTTGTATCATTTACGTATATGAATCACCAGTAACATATACTTTATTTCAACAATGAAACCTTAATACCAGCAATTGATAAAATATCAATGTTTCTGGGTAGAAACTCAACATTTCAGTATATACCAAGATACTTTATTTTTCAACAATGAAACCTTAATACCAACAATTGATAAAATATCGGTGTTTCTAGGTAGAAACTCGACATTTCAGTATATACCAAGATACTTTATTTTTCAACAATGTGTTTCATCAACAAATGTAAAATTTATACTCAATATCAACATCAAATAAAACATCAGTGTTTCTGGTAAAAAACTCCAGATTTCGATATATACAATAAAACTATATTTTTCAACCATATCTTTCATCTACAAATTTAAAAGTTAAACTCAAACCCAAACAATCAATGTTTCTAGGTTAAAACTATAGATTACATTATACACTATATACGTTTATTTTTCAACAATGTCTAAAATTAAAAGCAAAAGAAAGACATACCATGGGTAGTGTTGGTCGGAAAATGGGAGGGGCAACCTTTCCACCCCTTTTCTTTTTAGTTTTTGCATCCTTTGCTTTAGATGATGACCCCATTCCGTTTTCGATTTTCTCTTGGTAGAAGTTCGATTCGCCATTAATGCCATTGCATTCAAGCTTTTAGACCTCTGTTCAGTCAAGTTGGGGTGTTCAGATTCAAAAACTTGTTCATTGTTAGATGTTATTAATTGAGAAATCCCAATATTAAAAGACGGATGATCCATTGTGACAAATAATCCAAAATCTATTGAAAAAAAAATGATTTTGAAAGAAAAATGAAGAAGAAGATAATACCTATTTTGAACTTTGGGACTGTTGAATCGTTTGAAAATCCAATTGCTTTGAAAGCGGTAACTGATTTGGTAGTGGGAAAGATTATAGGCGAGATTTTGGGGGTGAGGAAGATGGATTTGGTTTCTTTCATAATTAAGTATCCGGAAAAAAGGAATTGGGGAAAAGTAGGGATTTTTGGATCTTTATGAAAGAGAAGGGATTAATTGATAATAGGTAAACATATGTAGTGTACTTTAGTAATTTTTCCTTTAACAAAGGCAAGAGCCGGCCTTGATTCAGATGGATAATATATATATATCCATATTATCAATACTCATTTTTATGCTTGTTACTTTTATGAGTTCTTGCTTTCTCTAGAGAGTTTTATAATGTTTTTTGGCTTTTAGCTTGTGTCTCACCAAACTATTTTTAAAACCAGAGATAATATGGTTAACTCATTTTCTAGATGTGTTAAATATGGACATATCATATATTGTTTTTCGTTTTCTACCTGCTCATATTTGATATGGCCTACTCGTTTGTGACTCCTAGTATAGATCTATCTAATGTTATATTTTATGCCTCCCCCACCTATATTCAATTTATAATTTTATTTTACAAAGTAAATATTGAACAGGAAAAAGTTCCATTAACAGTAGTAATAATGGTCCTAATGGACAAGAGAATTTGTTCATTGATCATGTCGAGACAAGTACTCTATATATATATTCTCCATTTAAAGGTGAGATATCATATCATGGTACTCTTTCTTCAATAATTTACTGAAATAATAGAATAGAAAAGATAGCTCTATAATAATATAATTAATGATTGAAATTCCAATGGATATAAAAGCTGATATTAGATTCCAATTGTTTATAGTCAGGAGCGGCTCAACGTAATTGAGGCCTAAAGTAAAATTTCAATTTGAGGCTTAAAATATAAACAAACTTCGTATACATATTTATTCAAAATTTATTTTTCTTACACTATTTAGATGGAAATTATTAGATTTAGTATTGTTTTTCCAGTTATTGATTTTAGGTAAGATTTTATCAACTCAACATTGAAAAACACCATTTCAGTGAGACAATTATTATATGAATTGTAAACATATTTTTATAAGTAATAAGTTGACAAATATTAAATAAAGATAAGAGTTATAAGAACCATAAAATCTGATTCAAGAAGTTGATGACTTGATATACACCATTTTAATATGCTTGTTGTAATGTTTGAAACTAAATTTTTTTTTAAAAAATTTGTAATTCACTTTGTTCAACACTTTTCACTATTGATTCTTCTTTTTAACAAAGTATAAAAGATGTTAAAGTGTATAAAATAATATATTTTTTTTATTATAATTAGCCAATTTTTTCTATAAAAATTTAACACATAATTTATTCTTGATAATAATTTGGGGCCCCCAAAATTTGGGGCCCAAGGCATAAGCATTATTTTACAAAGGCAAGAGCCGGCCCTGTGTGTTGGTCTAAAATATGATATTGCATATATTAATATTTATATGCATCAGACCAATAAATTATAATCAGTTCCCCTCTCTCAATTGATTTAGGATCAGAAATTAAATAATTACATCTAATTATTTTTGGCATGAGGTATATCATTAATGAATTTACCATAACATACAAATATGAAATCTCAAAAGAAGATTGGGACATGCTTTAGTCAGGAAAAAGGAGAAAAAAAATAAGCAAATAAGAAATATATTGTGAATTATCATATAACCCTCATTCAAAAGATAATTCAAGTCCAATACATAGAAGCATTTGTTGACTCGAAATTCATCACATATCTAATGTCCTAGAAGGTCAATGTTTACCGTATGCATGAAGCATGGTAGACCAATTGATCTCAACTCTAATAATCCTTGAAAAAGAAGAGGAACGAATGATTATAATGATGAGACAATGTGCGCTTGAAGAGCCTATAACATAACACTTCATGAGACTTCAAGAGAGGTTTCAGGTATCTGAAAATAATGAAGTGATGAGATCTCAATAAGTTATGTCGTATTGTGAATTGATATAAAATAATATTCCGTCGATGACATAATTAATACAATATATATAATACACAATAATACTGTAAAAGATTGTGAGAATTTGTATTCTACGACATAAAGCTTGGTTGACTTGTAGTCTAAACACCAAAAGATGTCATGCTTTAAATATTAATAGATATTGTCACTGAAATAATACATCTTGATAAGCATAAAACTTATTTGACTTATAGTCCATACACCAGAAAATGTTATGATTTAAATATTAATGGATATTGTTACAACTTATCTTTATGATTCACTTAATAATGAAATATATATAAAAATTTTAGTAGAATTTAAAATGCCTGAAGCATATAGTTTAAAGTCTCAAAAAATGTACTCAATTTTATAATAAAGATCGTTATATGGTCTAAAACAATTAGGGTGTATGTGGTATATTCACTTATGTGAATACTTGATAAATGAAGTTTATATAAGTAATATCAGTTGTTCATGTAATTTTATTAAGAAAACAACATCATAATTTGTTATACTTGGTGTTTATATTGATGACATAAATCTCATGTGAACTCTACAAGAGGTTCAAAAGTTGATTGAGTATCTTAAAAAAGAATTTAAGATTTCATCATTGGAAAGATAAATTTTTTCTTGATCTATAAATTGAACATTTGGCGGATGAGATTTTTATTCATCAACCTGCCTGTATTGAGAAGGTCTTGAAGCACTTTTACATGAACAAAACATATTCATTAAGCATCCAAAAGTTATATGGCTGCATTATGGCTAGCACACGAGTTATTAGGCCATATAACTTGGTTACAATTCAAATTACATTGAGGTTTATAAGTTTGCGGAATAAGACTTTTTACTTTTTCTGCTTTTAATATCTTCCACACAAACCACGGTGGAACTCTCCATTCCTCAAAAAACTTGTCTGGTTTCATCTTCTGACCTTCTTTGGCTAGTAGGTCCTCCACTTTATTCTTTCCTCGAGGCTCATGCCTGATTGGGGGTTCCCCATTCTATGGATCAAATCCTTGCATTCATTTAAAATATTTGTGTGAGTATCTCTTTCGTTTTGAAGAAACTTAATTACCTCGAGCGAGTCAGTTGCTATTTCCAAGTGTTGAACTTATAGTTTTTCAGTTAGAAGTAGTCCATATAATAGAGATGATAGTTCAATATTTGTTGACGAGTTTACATTAATTTTTGCACTATAACCATCTATCCAATTCCCATCGGTGTCACGCAAAACACCCCCTACTCCCCCTATTTTTGTGTTGTGGTTAAAAGATCCATCTATATTTAATTTATGTCCATAGTTCAATGGATCCCAACTAACAACATCCTTATTTTCCGTATTACATTTTCCTTTCGTGTCCTTTAAGTGTAGGGATTGGTCATTGGGATATTGTCTTTAGTATTGTTATGATAATTGTGGTTTCTAGATTGCCATATATTCCAAAAAATACAGAAGGGAAGGGCAAGACTCCAGTCTAACTTGTTGTTTATAATTCTTTTTTTAATCTTACGACAATCATTACTTCACAACAGTACATTTATTTCTTCAGGTCCACCAACTGTTTGAAGAAATGCCTGAACGATGGTTTCACTCATTTTGACACAGACCCATTTGAGTTTTTCACCTATTCCCACTCTAATCGTCATAAATTCCCAAACAAGACTTCATTGCAGAAGAAAAGTTGCCATTTTTAATCTTGTATTGGGAAAAAATATGGGGTCTTTTCAGGTTTTTAAGAAGCTTAGCAAGAAAAGAGTTGGGGATAGTGCATATTGCTTGTGTAGGAAAGGGTTGGGAAGTGAAGGGGATATGGAGCTGGAAGAGGAGATTTTGGCTTTCATGGAGATATCTGAGAACCCAAGTGTTTTTCCAACAAGGAAAGAATTGGAAAAAGCTGGAAGAGTGGATTTGGTGGAAGCTATAAAGAACAGAGGAGGTTGGTTTTCGTTTGGTTGGGACTCTGAGGATGATGACACTAACACTGTGAATGTTAATGTTAATGAGGTTGAGACTGTGGAAATGGATTTTGACATTGAGGAGTTTCATGATAGAGTGAAGAGTTGTCAAGAGAGTGATTTATTACATGAGAATGAAGCTCATTTTTCTGGTTCTGAAGTCTCTAGTTCTTCTCAGCCCGCCTCATCCTCTGGTAGATCGATGTGAGGTTCCTTACACCGGAATGTGCTTTCTTTTTAGTTATTTTTATTGCTTTGCTTTTGGTATGTACCTTCCTACGTGAATCCGGATTAGTTGGCAAGTAGACTCTGGATACACGATGCTTAACTTTTATCTTATGTTTGATATTGAGGATATAGAATTGTGCTTGTTCTGCCATTTTGCAGTTTTACTATATCTTATCTTGATATTTGTGATTCTTTATCCGACTCAACTTTCGTCATTAGTCACTGGCTTAACACTTGCCTTCCACATGTAAACAAAAATAAAAGCTTTCCTTCCTTTCTTTTACTATTCCCACCAAGCTCCGAAGGTTGTTTGTTTGACAGGGATATAACCAGAGACTTGGTAAATGGTGTAGTTATAGTTACAATTAACCAACTCAATAGAAAAACGTAGATGGGATTAGAGAGTGAAGTAAAGTCTAACTTGGTAGCTCCGTAGTCAGTACTATTAGTGACAAGAGTACACAAAGACAATACTCAGGATGACCGAAAATCTTAAAAATAAGAAACAAGGAAGCATGTCTCTAAATGAATCTCCACCTATTTACTCTCCTAGCTATTCATCGCGGGTTATATTTGGTGTTGTGTGAAAAATCATTCATTGATATCTTCTTTCCTCTCCTTGCTCAACAGAGAAACTGTAGCAGAAGAAGATAGCGGGATTGAAGGGATATTGAGTCGACTAGAAAAAGAGAGGAACTCATCTCTTGGTATTGATCTGGGAAAGCATGGGCATACTTCTCATACATCAAGTAGGGACAACATAGATGATAGAAGCTTTGGAACCACTGATGCAGGTAAATTTTTTAATCAGAAAGCAGGATGACATGTTATCAAAAAATGGTTGAATAATCTAGTAGTTACAGCATTGATTTGCTGTTTAATCATTATTGCCTTTGTGTACTATGTCTTAGATATCTTTAATATTTCTTTGAATCTGAAACTGTTTTCCTAAGTTTCTGAACTAGAAATATTTATTCCTGAGTATTTTGTTTGTAAGCAGTTAATTCTTAATCATGAGATGTCATTTCTGTCACACTGTAAAAGACAGGACTGACCTAGGGAAAAATGATAGCCTGAGTAAAGGTAGCCCCATGAAAGACATTCGAAGTGACGAGGAGCTTAACCACAGCGTTTCACCAGCCAGGTGGAGAAAATGGAGCATACAACGTGCGGGCCTTCAGGATATAGATTTTGAAGGTATTCTCATTCTTGTGTCTAATTATGTTTATAGATTGTAACCTCGCTTCACTACTGCTATGAACAGCTGCTGAGGTTGCTCTGGGTAAAAGTTGGATTGAAGGTACCAGCGAAGCTTCGGGAGATGATGCAGTTAATATCACTGAGAGTAGATTTGAAGCCTTACAAAGATCGAAAAATGGCAACAACAATGAGATAAGCACTTGTCTTATACATTTAGAGTTTGAGCTATCAATGACACTCGGCTCATTGAAATCCAAGAGTGAGGAGTTCAGTTCGAAGGAGGTATTAATCTGTATCTTTTGTTTTTCTTAATAACTGCGGTGTCTGAGCCAACTTGCTCGCACTTAACCTAATTTTATGGGATACATGTTACCTCCCGCTAGCACAGGTAGTGGTAACACTGTCCAACAAGGCTTGGACAGATAGGTAAAAATCTGTATCTTTTGTTTCCCCTAGCATCATATATTTTTAGTCCTCTTATGTAAAATAATGGATTAGCTTAGCTGTGTTTCCCTGGCGATGCAATTATTCCACTAAAAGGAATTGTCTCTTTATTTTGTTGAATAGATGTCAACAGGAAATTTATCAATAATTTCTTTACCATGATTTGTTTGTGAACATTACATAATTTCTTGTCAAGCTAAACTTTTATATCACGTTTCCAACTGCCTTTTAGCACATCAACCAACCCAAAAGTTCTCTTAGGAATTTAGATTCAATGCATAAAATTGCTTCTTTCGACTTCACACCCTTTCCCATAGAAAAGCTGAAAATAAAACTGTTAAGACATTAATGTTTTTTTTTTTTTTTGAGAATGAGACATTAATGTTAAATAAAGTAAGTATCCCCCTCAATATGAGGTTCACAATCTTTAACATGGTATCCGAGCCAGAGCAGGTAGTGGTCTTGGATTCAAGTCTCACTTCCTGCCATTAACAAAAAGTATTTCCAAATGCTTGACTCAAGAAAATGAATTAGGTCTTTGTGTGAAAGGATGTGTTAAGACATAATTAAGTAAATACAAGTGTCCCTTCCTAGTAATTTAAACTTTTTGATGTGGTAATAACACAATTCTGGAAAAATAAAAAAAAAGAGAAAAGGACACAGGGCCTAAAGGAAATTACAACAATAACAACAACTTACCCAGTATAGTCCCACAAAGTGGGGTCTAGGGAGGGTAGAGTGTATGCTGACTTTACCCATACCTCAAAGGTAGGGTGTTGTTACTCATAGACCCTCGACTCAAGGAAAAATAGTTCAAAGCAGTCTAGAAAAAAAAGTAATGGAAGTACAAGAATCAACAAATAATAACATAACAAAAACTACACCAAAACAATAAGACAATCGAGGTACAAGGATGATACAGATAATAATAAAAATTGGAGGACAAGAAACTGTTGGAGAAATATGACTACTAATATGAATGGACAACACACTGCTACCTACTAACCTACTACCCTAAATATGAGTCCTCCCCACCCTCCTATAAGGTCATGTCTTGGGTAAGCTGAAACTGCGCTATGTCCCATCTAATCACCTCACCCCATACTTCTTTGGTTTACCTCCGTCTCTCTTGAAACCATCTAGATCCTACCTCTCACTCCTTCACACTGGGGCGTCTGTGCATCCCCTCTTTCACATGCCTGAACCATCTTAGCCTAGCTTCCCACATTTTTCCTCCACTAAATTCACTCCCACCTTGTCCCAGATATCTTCTTTTCTAATTCTATGTCTCATAGTATGTGCACACATCCATCAAATTTCCTTATTTCCGCAACTTTCATTTTCTGAACATGAGAGTTCTTGATTGGTCAACACTCCGCCCCATACAATATAATTGGTCTAACCACCACTCTGTAGAATGTGCCTTTAAGTGTTGATGTTACGTTCTTATTAGACAAAACTACAAAGTAGAGCCTCCACTTCATCCACCCTGCACCAATATGGTGAGTGACATCCTCGTTAATCTCTCTATTTCTTTAGATTATAGGCCCAAGATACTTGAAATTTCCTCTTTTTCCTTCCTGTGTTTCAAGCCTCACTTTCATGTTTGCCTCATGTTGTACATCATTGAACTTGCACTCCAAGTATTCTATCTTGGTCCTACTCAACCTGAACCTTTTAGATTCCAGGGTTTGTCTCCAAACCTCCAACTTAACATTAACTTCACCACATGTCTCGTCAATTAGAACCATGTCATCTGCAAATAACATGTACCATGACACCTCAACTAGAATTTGTCGTGTTATTTTATCCATCACCAAGGTAAATAAAACGGGCTAAGGGCTGATCCCTGGTGCAACTCTATCAAAATTGTAACGTGCTTTGAGTTCCCTTCCATAGTCCTTACCCACGTCTTGACTCCATCATACATTGCACAAGTGTACACCACAAGTACACCTCTAGCCTCTGAGCAACCCCTGTGTTTCAAGCCTCACTTTCATGTTTGCCTCATGTTGTACATCATTGAACTTGCACTCCAAGTATTCTATCTTGGTCCTACTCAACCTGAACCTTTTAGATTCCAGGGTTCGTCTCCAAACCTCCAACTTAACATTAACTTCACCACATGTCTCGTCAATCAGAACCATGTCATCCACAAATAACATATACCATGACACCTCAACTAGAATTTGTCGTGTTATTTTATCCATCACCAAGGTAAATAAAACGGGCTAAGGGCTGATCCCTGGTGCAACTCTATCAAAACTGTAACGTGCTTTGAGTTCCCTTCCATAGTCCTTACCCACGTCTTGACTCCATCATACATTGCACAAGTGTACACCACAAGTACACCTCTAGCCTCTGAGCAACCCCATATGACCTCCCTTTGGACTTGTTGTACATCTTCACATAGTCGATGAACACTATGTGTAAGTCCTACTTCCTTTTCTTATACTACTAACTACTCCACCAGTCTTCTTACGAGATGAATGGTTTCTGTAGTTGAGCGCTCCAGCATGAATCCAAACTGGTTCTCAGAAATAGCCACTCCCTCCTCACCCTCATCTCCACCACCCTCTCTAAGACCTTCATAGTGTGGCTTAACAACTAAATACCCCTATAGTTGTTGCAATTTTGAATGTCACCCTTGTTCTTATACAACAAAATCATTGTACTCCATGTCCATTCTTTGGACATCTTCATTATCTTGAAAACAACATTAAACAACTCATTCAGCCACTCCATGCCTTCCCTGCTTGCGCTCTTCCTAAATTTCACCAGGATCTCATTTGGCCTGGTCGCTCTACCCCTACACATCCTAGTACTAACACCATTAACCTCCTTAACCTTTATACGCCTACAATACCCATAATTGCGATACCTGTCTGAGTGCTCTAAATCTCCTAGCACAATACCTCTATCTCCATCCTTGTTCAAAAGTCTATGAAAGTATGACTTTCATCGCCTTCTAATGAGTGCCTCCTCCACCAGTACTTTGCCGTCCTAATCCTTGATGCACTTCACTTGGTTCAGGTCACGGGCCTCCTTTCTTTCCTCTTGGCGAACTTGTACAACTTCTTATCCCCTCCCTTGTCCTTTAATTCTACGTACAAACATTCAAAAGCTGTCATTTTTGCTGCATTAAATGCTACTTTGCTTCCTTCCTCTCCATCTTACACCTCTCCTATTTGTCCGCTTTTACTCTCCACCAATTTCACATACGTCACCTTCCCTTGGACTTCTCTATTCCACCACCAGTCCACTCGATGTCCACTAAATCAGCCTCTCGAGATCCCCAACGCATCTCTAGTTACTTTCCTATTGCAACTAGCAGTCCTATCCCACATACTGTCCACATCCCCACTATTCCCCCAAAACCCCATAGCCATCAACTTCTCCCCCATCTCCAGGGCACTTGTCATAGTCAAGCTAACCCATTTGATCCTTAACCAATTATCCCCAACCCTCTTCCTCCTCTCCCTCTTGATCTCCAAATTCATCACCAGGTGTTTATGTTGGGTCATAAGATTCTTACTTGGGATAAACTTACAGTCTTTGGAAAAACCTTAATCACTCTTCCTAAGGAGAAAATAGTCTGTCTGAGTCTTAGTGACTGTACTATGGAAGTAACCAAGTGCTTTTCCTTCTTCGGGGAACTCGAATTGGCTACCACCGACCCAAAATCTCTTGCGAAATCTATGCCTTGAGGGAATTATTTACAAAATATTTTCTTCAATGATTATGTCTAAAAGAGAAAATGCTTAGATATTTACTATATAGGCATCTCAATTGGAATCAAAGTTCTGCTAACTATTTACTGTCGTCGTCCCAATTCATGTTAGGGTGTTCGACTCAGCACATAGTTTAAGAAAGAAAGAACGATTTTTGAAAAAGAGTCTTAAAACAAACCATAGATATTTTTGTGACTATAAATCATCTCACTAAAGGTAAAATGAGAGGTTTAAAGTTAATTATTTCTAAATGTAGAAAGGTAGTCATTCTAATTGAAATAGACAAAAAAGGAAAGAAAATTGGGAGAAAGGGAGTTTTGTTTAATGGGATAGTGCTAGTATTGTTATGTAACTTCACGGCTTCTTCCTTAGGTTTTTGGAAGCTCCCCAAGTGATTCTGATGCATGGGAGTTTCAACAGAATGAACTCATGAATGGCCGGGAGAGATTGAGGTTGATTCGTGCAAAGCTGGCTGTGCTTGAGGGGAAAATGACACTTGCAATGATGTCTGGTCACGTCTCATTCATCTTAATATACATATTTTAGACTAGATATCTTAACCAAAAACTGAGTTTTCGTACCATACATTTTCAGTGATGCACAGAAGATGTTAGACGAGAAGCAGAAGAGGATTGATAGGTCTAGTAAAGCTTTACAGCTTCTTCGTACTGCTCGGATTGTTTGGACTAACTCCGCCTCAGAGGTTCTTCTAGCAGGTTCTTTTGATGGATGGACAACTCAGGTTTCATCTTGCTTCCACATCAATGATAGGAAATAGGAGACACCACTTTACTGTCAAAACGTCAAGCATAGTTTCGTCTAATGTGATCGTCCAGACCAACTTAATCTTATTTTTGTCGTTTAAGATGAAGATGATGTGTTACCAATGATTACTGTAAGGACATCATCTTCTGCTTGGTTTAGTGTAGAAGTGTCACCAATAGAGTCAACATCTAGCTTTTCTTGTGGACAATGTGAGAGAAGTTCACAACTTAGTCATGTTTGGCTAGAGCAGGAATTAAAGATTCTCTTTTAGGGGGTACACCCAATTAATATCCAGTGCAATATGCTTTGCTGACTCGACTCCAGCAAAACCACATGGCTTATTGCCTTCACAATAATTTATTTCCTCTTTTATTTTGTTTGTGGTGGGATCCAAGAAGGGTTTGCAAGAAGAGCTATGGATCTAATCACAACAGTATCTGATCATAAAGAAAGCGGAAGAATATTTCGAACTTGAATATAATCCCTCCGTTTCAATCAATGTGTCTTACTTTCTTTTTTAGTTTATTTCAAAATGCCACCTTTTTGTAATTAGTAAGTTTTTTTTTCCGAACATTCCCATTTTACCTTTAATAATATTCCCTCATAGGAATAACATGGTATATTTAAGACCACAAGATTTAAGGGGTAACTTTGATATCTTATATAGACCTTTATTTAAGACCACAAGTTTCAAAAGTCTTTCTTACATTCTTAAACTTCGTTCCACACAAATTATGACACAATAAATGAAACGACAGATAGCAAAACTCAGGATTTTCTCAACTTACTAATCCAAATCAGATACATAGCATTAGGGGCATGGAGACTTCATAGTCAAGGTGCACTTCTTCAATCCTTGCTCAGAACTTTATTAGGATGGCGTACAAAGTGTTTTACCTTTGTTTTCCAGAAAGTCACTTGGAAATTAGGTGAGGAACCAGTTTTGTGTACCATCAAGTCGATTTTACTAAGGTTGTTCCTAAAGCATCAAATGGCTTGAAGAATGATATCTCGTCGGTCTCTTAATGAAAACTGCACATCTCTACTTCCACTTCCCCTAAAAGGCCTTGTACGAGCTTTGTGATATTGATTTCAAGGAGTTTCTTGACCTTTACTAGCAGCATGACACGATGCATTGAAATGCAGAGAAAGATGGAAAAATCGAGCACAGGTGTTTTCTCTGTACGCCTAAAGCTGTATCCAGGCAGATATGAGGTAAGTTTTAATGATCGTAATGAATTTGATATCATACTATGTTATCCTGTGATTTACCAAGCCTCTCATTTATTTTCATGCAGATCAAGTTCGTTGTTGATGGCATATGGAAGATCGATCCTTTGTGGCCTATTGTTCACAACGATGGACACGAAAACAATCTTTTCATTGTTACATAAGAGCATGTCCCTGCAAAGTTACTTCATTGTTCCTTGTTACATAAGAGCACGTCCCTGTAAAGTTACTTCGGAATTTGAAAGTTCAACAGATTCTCTGTGGTTAAGGGACTTGAAGTTTTACTCTCTTGAAATTCTTTGGTACTTTTGGTCTTTCTATATATTCAGTTGGTTTGTTTACATGCTAATATCTCTTGAAAGAGTTCTTACCAAAGCTCTCTCCTTTCCTAATTGAAGGGTCATGACTACATTGTTTTTTTTTTTCGTCGTCCTCTCTTTTCCAGGTTTTTGTTCTTGTTTATTCACAATTTTGGTTCTCATTACACTTATGGAAGATGGAATTGTGAGCTAATGTTAAGTGTCCCCTGTTACCAAAATGACATTTACAAATAATCCTTCATGAAAAGTGAGAATCATAATCTTAAAATCAAGTAAATCATCTATAACATGTAAAGTTGACTTGATAGTGTACAATTCATTTATATTGTTGGTGGATATGAGTTAAACACAAGAAGAAGGAGGTTAAAAATAGTTATGCCTAATTGATAAGGTTACAATAACTACACATTCGTTCCGAATCAATTGAGGTTAGACACATGAATCCTCACTAATCATATCGTTCTATATAAATTCATTCATATAAACCATGTCAATTGTCAATCATAAAATCGGTTAGCCAGTAATGTGAGCAAACCTACCTAGGCGGAGTTGTCTAATTGACAAGGTTGTTTTGAAGAAATTATACGGAGACTTAAGATAGTATCGTGCATATAGGATAAACAAATTCAGATTATGTGTTATACGTGAGGAAATCATATGTCATATTGTACTATATTCCAACAGTTTCAAAATTTTAATACGCCGCGACGTTTCATGAAGACAACAATGCTGGTGAAATGTAATTGCAACCATCAACAATAACTAATCCAGTGTAATCTGGATGAAATCGCAACCATCAAGAAAAAAAAGAAATGCCAACATTAGTAAAAATTACTGTCAAATTAAGCAATCTCAACAACATAGATCAACTAGGGGATGTAGCTCAGATGGTAGAGCGCTCGCTTAGCATGCGAGAGGTACGGGGATCGATACCCCGCATCTCCAAATTGTATAAATTCTTGCTTTTTTGTGTGCTCTGCAATACATACCGACCAAAATAGAATCAAAAGCAATACAACAATTTACAGAAGTCTGCATTTCATCAAATTGAAGAACATACCATAATCTATAATCATATACGGTTGTTGCAGAGTGTTAAAACATATATCGTATGTCTAAACATTTGAATGAAGGTAATATATTACATAGATGTGAATCGAGTTGAAATTCGTAGATGCATAACTGATGGATTCGATTTAAGATGTAAGCATATAAAAACTGTCTCTTTCACAAAAAGGACTAACAAATCCATGAAATTCTACTTGACTACCCTTTTCACTCATGCTATATGTCTGATGCTTGACAGCTTGATCTAGACGTTCACTCCAACAAAATATTTACCTTATTTATAATCTTGCATTTCATCTGGTGCTGTAGTAACATTTGTAAAGGAGAGACTTTGTGGCGAGTGGAGACTAACAGCACAGAAGAAATCTGGAATCAATTTGTACAAGAACTAGCATGTTCTCACACTCATTGACAAGCCTCTCACAGCAACTTTTACAGCAGCAACGACACCACGCTGTCTCAAACTCTGATTCTCCTTGGTCTCGCTATTATCTTCACCCTCAACAGCGACAAAGTATGCAACCTATTGAGCCAAATGAGGACAGAATCAGAAAATATTTCGCAAGATAGCAGGAATTCAGCCCAGCTAAATTGGTGCAGGCTACATTTCTTCTAACATTATCTGCAGCAAATGACTTGGGGGTTGTTCGTTTAAAGTATAAGCCAAAAACTAATCATGGTATATAAATCGATACTACGTTATATAATGTTTTGTATGGAGTATGCAACCTATTGAACCAAATGGAATAGAATCAGAAACCATTATGAAAAGATATAACAAGAAAAAAAAGCAAGTCCAGTGCACAAAGTATCCCACATTCACGTAGGGTCACTCTAAGGGGTGTAATGTAGACAACCTATCCTGACTCAACGGCTCGAACGAGATCACACGGAGATAACTTTACCAATGCTCCCCTTAACTAGATATAACAAGATGAGAGCTGAAATTTAGACTAGCCTAAGTGCATATTTTCGGCTGTCTAGGCTGCGTTCATTCAACTATATATGCAGCAAATGACTTCATCTTCTGGTAACAAATTTCTCTTCCAGTAAATCGCTATACTCCTAGTGTCAACAATATTAGTAGTTCTATGTAGCAAAACTGTCCAGCAGAAAATAACAACCTAAAATAAAAATAATCAAATTTAAATGTTTGCTGTGACGAGTTCCAGCGTTTCATTTGGCTGGATCTCCCACAACTCCCTCAAAAAAGGAACTTGTTTCACTTTCCTACTTCCTTTGTCTCCTGAACAACGACTAACTAAAGCATCGCTTCCACTATTGTACGTGCAGCCGTATCCACAGAGATTGGCTAGACATTCTAAAATTTCAATTTCTAGTTTATTTGAACTATGTGACTAATTCTAGACACTGCTAACCAGATACAACACCAAATGATGAAGACATCAGACAAAATTTCTCATTCTTAAGTTTATGAAATATGCCGATACAAACTTAAGATCAAGAGAATTGGGACTCATCCAGCCTACAGGTGACATTCAATTATGATGAAATATCATTTGCTAGCCTTGAAGGCATCATGCCTGAGAACCAATATCGCATCTGAAGCATCTTAGGCTACCTCAAATCTTGAAACAGATGCGTAAAAAGAATGTAAAATATGGCTTGGCCTCAGCTTACTCATCTATATGAATTTATTTGGAAACTGTTTAGCCAACGTGCTTATACTACGAACAATATTCTTATTGAGACCTCTGTCTCCTTTCCTATTTATGCAACAAGTGAACATAGATTAAGTAACAAATAAGCTCGCTTGTACTGGGAAAGAGTTCTCAAAGAAATGTGCATATACATAAAGTTCATTCATCGGTACTGAATCTCCATTCAAATAGGCATTTGAAGATTTTGATGATATGCAAAGACATTTAGCGAATTACTGTCAAGTAATATTACCTTTCCTGAAGCATTCCGGACAGGTGAAATGTGAAGCCAAAATGAGGTTCCGTCTTTTCTGAAAGAAAATATGTAACCACAAGATACTGAGTATAGAGAAGTAACATTCTGCATCTAAATAACTTACAGGAACAGGAGCCTACCTGTAATTTAACATACGTAGTGTACACGGTTGTTCATTTTGGATGCATTCTTTTATCTGCAAAGAGAGAAGTAAAAAAGTTGGATTTAGATCACGTGTCATCGAAATTGAGCAAATTAGAGCTAATTACAAGAGAAAATTACCCGAAATTGAGAGCTTGAATCTGTGTCCGTCCCACTAAAAGATCTACAGTTATAGCCCAACAATTCATTTCTGGAAAAGCCTATAAAAAAGGGAAGGAAAGAATCATTCCAGTTAGTAACTATCAGTTAAACAAGGATGAAAACTTGCCGTTCAAACAAACAAAAAATGCATTAAAAATTAACTACATATTTACCACCTGTTAATTTCAGAAAGTTATCACTTGCAAAGACAATTGGCATGTCCGGTAAGTTAGCATCAGTTCTACAAGTTACAGGAAGACAACTCTAGAAGTGTCAAAAACCATCTAGAACCTAATCATATCAATTGTAAAGTGAAGCAAGTATAGAACTATGAAAAAAAGAACTCACAATGCAAAGCTTTGTTTGATTCTACCAAGAGATATATTTAAGGATGCTCCGAGCTGACCCGTCCTAGGTTGAGAACGTCCCTTCCCATGGACTAGTCTGCCTGTTGATTCACCATCATGTACCAGCACAGTCAGTATGTTGTCTATAACAGCAGTGGATTTTCTCTTCTCTAGATCACTTGCATCACATGGTCCATCTACATCTACTCCTACGACAGACAAGTTTGTGGAAAACGTCAATCATTTGCACAATAAGCAACGAGACTAGGATGAATATACGAAAAAGAAGTTAGGTATTGTCCTATCTCATAACACTCTCGTGACACTCCACCATTTCATCCATCCTATTCGAATCCTATGCGTTACATCTTCATTGATCATGCTATTCTCCTGAATGATTGAGCCTACATATCTAAATTCCTTTCATTTAGGCACCACAACCTCGTTTAATCTCATTTAAATTCGTTCTTCTTATGAGGGATGAATTTTCCATGCATTTATTATGTTATCTTTCTTTTAACAACAAAAGTTGAACTCCAAGGAAATGAATCAAAGACAGCCAAGTCTAGATAAGCATATGTTCTAGTTTTCAATAACTAAGCAAATACCCCACAATCAAATGAGCTTATCAAGCCACTTTTTATAGAGTGTATAGGAATTATGCTAATGCAGTATGAATTGCATGGCTGGCACAATATGAGTACTATGACCACAGTTCCTGTATGTAAAACATAAGCTTTGCATAACCTTTCTCACCTAATCGATCGTGGTGAAGAGAGGGAACCTGAGGAAAGTCTACATATAATATATATCTACAGGAGCATATATTTCAATCAAAGTGTACCTGTGAAATCCAAGCCTGAACCCGATGCAAGAGACAGTGCCCGTTCCACGCTCATGGAGTGTACTTCCCTTCTATAACACCTAAGCACTGACTCTCGACAGCCAGCTCCATTTTGACATAAATTTAGTCCAGTTCCAGATGACTTAGGCCTCCTCAAAATTGGAACTTGAACTCCCAAGAAATGAATCACCCTCCCATCCTTCTCATCGAAAACAGGACACATATGAAACAACATCCAAAATGGTGTCCCATCTTTCCTATAATTCAACAAACTAATTTGTATATCCCTCTCCTCTCGTATCGCCTCACGAACCTCCAAAACCGATCTACGATTAGTCTTAGGCCCCTGAAATATCCTCCCATTCCTCCCTATCACCTCATACTTCGAATATCCAAACATTTCCAAGAAACCACGCGAGGCATACACAATAGGGTTACCAGAAATGTAAGGATCAGTTATAGTGAAACAATCAGGCAATTCATCAAGAGATTCTTGAAAACCTGCTGAGTAACAATCAAATGATTGTTCAATCATAGTACCCCTTTGTGACTCCATAAGTATCTGTTACGTGTTCAACAGAACTCAGTAACTTCAACCAAAACTCTATATATGTGTTAAGAAATCTAGTTAATATGTATAAATAATTTATCCAGAACTCAATAAGCTACTTATTCTAATCAATAACTCATAACTCAAAATTCTGAATCCGCCTCTGATATGCCCTGCAATTGTTGATCTAAAACTTCAATAAATTGAAATAAAAACAAGAAACAAACATGAAGAACAATTAAAAGAAACTTGCAACTAAAAAAAACACAACTTATTTTGATTAGAGTTTGTTCTACAAAACTAAAGTTAGTTACAAATGACTTGTCCTATGTCTACCAATTTAAACTCTTAACATGATAGGGACATATACACCTCCCTTTAACATAGAACAAAAAATTGTGGTTGTGTCTCACCATAAATATCAAGATATTTTCATGGACTTGTAACTTGTTCAATTAAATTTTCAAAATTTGCATATTTTGATTTCGAGATCAACCGTTTGAATTTGACTAATCAATTTAAAATATTTTTTAATCAATATTAAAGCAACAAATATGACATGGAGAAAAACTACTATTAAAAAATTCATTTATAAATATTTGATCGTGAATTCAGTTATCTTTATAAATTAATTTTAAATTATTATAAAAATTCAAAAACTTCAAATAGTGAATTCGATATAAAAAATATTAAGTGGTAATAATCATAATTAGTGGCTTACATGTCTTGTGTGAGAGTGAGGACCTGAGAAGTAGAAAATCGAGAGCATAAAAATATCTCAAGGGAAACTTTGTTTTGAATGAAGGAGAAGAATTGAGATGTGCCCATCAATCGTTTTTAAATGAATTGAATTATTATGGGAAGATAAAGATGGATGGGAAAGGAGGAAAGTAATCTTGACACTCACATAATAATAATAATAATAATAATAATAATAATAATAATTTCATTTTGTGGTATGAACGAAGCACGAGGGAAAAAAATATCTTCTTAGGGTGTAAATGAAAATGTTTCTTCAATTTTTTTTTAAAATAAGTAAACAATAATTTTTAAATATATTTTTTTGTGTTCAATAAGTTAAAAAAAAATAGTATTGTAAACATATTTATATATATAATTTAGATAAATGAGAAATTTAGGGAAGGGCAGAAGTGTGCCAGGTTGAAAATGAGATAAACGGAGCCGAAGATAAAAATAAGGAGCATTGAATAAGATTTAATATGCTGGAGAGGAAAAGAAACACAATTAACATAAAATGTCATTTGCAAAACAATATTTGAACTATATATTGTTAACATAGAATATCATAAGGGTTGAATATTAAGGTAGAGATAAATTTTATAATTAATTGAGCAAGTTCACTCTGACTTATTAATATGGCAACTCTTATTTACAAAACTAATTTATGTTCAATGGATCCAAATAACCAAAAAAAATAATTAAAGCGAAGGTCATTTTTTTAAAAATGTTATATATATATATATATATATATATATATATATATATCATTTTATTTGAATATGATTAACCCAACTAATTAAAGTATTAAACTCGGGTGGTTTGCAAGAATAATTTTTGTAGGAGGTATTTTGAACTTTTGGCACTGTTAAAGATATTGGAAGAAAATAAATGTTAAATATGTATAAATCAAAAATATATTAAACTATTAATGAAGAGCATATTTGCATTTTCACTTGTCAATCATTAAATTAGTTTGTTGATAGATTTTTTATTAAAATAAAAATATACTGGACAAATTCAGATCTAGTGGAAAGAATGAATTACATTATGACACGTAGTAAGATCAAATTATAAATGATTTGGGGAGAATAAAAAAACTCTCCTAGAAATGTTGCAAGAAGTCTTGAACATCTTTTTAAGTGGGATTTACTCACAATCGAACATTCGAGAAATGACTCGGAGAAGATCGGCTTATAGCAAATAATTATAATGAGCCTCGAAAGCCCAACAATCAATCTTGACTCACAAATTTCAATTTGATTCAAGCAGAACATTAAATGCATAATTTTATGAGATAGTTTTTTCAATACCCAAGTGTATTGTGTTTCACATTGAGGTCACAATTCATTTTTTTTACACCTAGCTATAAAGGCTTTGCAAAAAAAAAAAAAAAGAATGACATGAGAGAAAATCTCAAGAAGCTTTTAGTTGTTATCTTGTTCTTTCATGTTTTAGTATTTTTCATAAAAGAGGCCTAAGATCCTCCTCACTTGTACTGACTCTATTCCTAATTACTTGTCTACTTTTAAATTGACACACTTATTAAGAAAACAATTATTAACATAGTGAGTTTACCATTTTACCCCTATTAATTATGAAATTGATGAATTTAAAATTTAAGATTTTCAAGAAATTCCACCTTTTTTCAAAGTAATTAATTGAGGGTATAATTGGTAAAAAAAAATATTCTTTCTTGATTTGTCAAAATGAACAAGTAATTAAGGACAACTAAAAAAGAAAAAATGGACAAGTAATTAAGAACAAGGAAAGTACTATTTTCACTTATTTTTGAAGATCATGTCTTGTACGAAATCACAACCTTGCTATTTTAGCCTAAGAAATAAAGGAAATAGACTTAATTGATATTAACCCACTAACCTATTTTCACAAATTCAATTGTTTATTTAAAAAAAAAAACAAATTCAATTGTTAAATGAAATTATATTTTTTTCGAATATGCAATTAGAGTGTTGTTTCGATATGTTGTTGTGACCCCTTACTAAGACCATCAAGCGTGGTTATTAGAGTTAAATTAAAATAAGGGAAAATGACTTGATATACCCCTTGATTTTATCATTTAGAGATGATATATTTTTTATTGTGAAAGTGACTCATATATGCCCTTGCTGATATACAAATGGCTCAAATATGCGTTTTTCCTCTAATGTAAGTGAAAAAATTAATTTTTAATTATTATTTTTTTATAAAATATAATCTCATATGGGTATATTTAATCCTCCTCACACATATTTTTTAACTTATTTTGTTTCAATTACTAATTTAAATTTATTATTTTGATGGTCAAATTTATTTATGTTTCACTAATTTTCTTGTTAAATTTATTATGAATGACCCATTTTTTTTTTCAAGTACAAAAACTAAAGTAACAATATAGTCGAAAAAAATAGTTCTAAATTATAATATAGCCACAAAAAAATTAGTTTTAATTGAATTTTGCTAGAAGGATCATATATAATACATGAACATTTTTAAATTAAAAGTAAAAAAATATAAATTTAAAACTATTTTTTTCACTTCCGTTAAATGAAGGGTATATGTGGGCTCATTTTGTAACGGTAGGGGTATAGTCATTTGTATAACGGTAAGGATATATATGAATCACTTTCATAACGAGGGACATATCAACTCCAAATAACAAAGTTGATGGGTATATCAGACGCCCACTAACAAGTGTACTTAATAATTTAATTTTTATATTAAAAGGCATAAACAAGAACGATTTTTTTTTTCCAAAAAGTAAAAGGTAAATTTAGATTAAAGTAATGGATACTAAGGATATATTTGTGCTAAACAATATCTATTTAGTTTTTTATAATTTAAAAATACGTGCCTTCATATCAGTCTAGTGATTTGGAGTATCAGAAGTGAAGAGTGTTTGGTTGCATGACAAATGTATGCACCAAAATAAGAGTTTTTTTTTTTTTATAAATAAGAGAGTTAAAAAAAAAAATTATTTTATTTTATTTTGTAAGTAATTTGAGATTTTAATTCATGACAACAACTTATAAAAATAATTAAAATATTTTTTTATCCAAATAATATGTAAAACTTAAACTTTTATCTAATTGGCACACGTTTTTCCATTATTTATTTTTACTAAAAGTTATTGATTTGATTAATTTACATTCACTAGGTTTGAATATATATATGGGTCGTTTGGTTGGGAACAAGTTATTTCAGGATTAGTTATTCTAGGGTTAGCTATCATGTGATAACTTATCCCACCATGTATATGAGATAACTTATTCCATCATTATGATATAAATGGTAGAATAAGTTATCCCAAACATGACAAGCAAATAAGATACAAAAAATTAATCCCATCACTATTTATTTTTATCCCTCATATCAAATGACCCCATAATATTATAATATAAGGTTATAAAAGAGATTCGGATGAACCACTTTACGCTACTAGTGCTGCCAATGTATACATGAATTATTATACCATTGCCACTAATTGATGTTATTGGGCTAGTAGTGATTTAGGGTGTGTTTGGTAAGAGGGAAATATGTTTTAAAAAATAAGTAAGTTTTTTATTTATTATTTTGTGGTGTCTAAGTTAAAAAATATTATATATATGATATAGAAAAATATTTAGGGTAATAAGGTGGTGGGGATGTGAATTAAGGGGGATGGGTTGAATATGAGTTCAATCTGTTTGCCAGGAGAGGAAATAATCAATATAAAATATTATTTATGAAGTTTATTTTTTCTAACTTTTATTAAAAACTGTTTTCCTTCATAGGTAAGGAACTTATTTTTCTTTAAAAAAATTATTTTTCAAAATTTTCGACCAACTAAAAATAAAAAAAAAATATTTTCATCCATACGAACACAACCTTAATTCATTTTATGGATTTATTATATATTCTATGAATTTTTATTTTACAATAAACTATAAAATATTGTCGTACGTCATACCAATCGAAGAACAGTACACCTAAAGTGTACACCTTCAGAGAGCTCGTTTGGATCTATTTTTTATTTTTAATTTATTTTTAATTATTTTAAGTTATTTTTTATTTTGCCAAACACTTCCTAATTTATTTTAACTCATTTATTTTACTTATTTTAATTTTTTTTTTTATATTTGTCAAACACTTCCAGAATGGTGCTAGTCACTCATGCCTCTAAACAAAGCAAAACTATACATCAGTTATTCATATTCTTTCAACATCCCATGTGTTGTGTTAAGCACCTGTTTAATATTGTTGTTAAAAAATTACTTATTTTTAAAAATAGTGTTTTTGGAAAGTGCTTTTAAAAATTTAACTAATTTATTTGAAAAGTGTTTTTAATAAGTAAATTGTATTTATCTAATTTTATTAAAAAATGCTTTTGAGAGTTAAATTATGAAAAAAGACAAGTCTCAATATATTTTTAATATTAAAATTATTTTATAGAGAAAGACTATTTTAAATATCGATTACAAAATTTTAATCAAATTAACATCTAATAATTTAAAATGGATAATTTATTTATCAAATAAAATGTAAAATTACTATTCTTAGGATAATAACTTGAATAAAAGACAAAAATAACATCATAAAATCTAATCCTTATGAAGTTCAGATTATCTTTCCAATACATAAAATAATACATAAATTATAAAATAAATAATAAATAATAAATAATAATATATAAACTTAACTTATGATATATGTTAATTAGTTAATAAGGAACATATTGGTAAATATGTATATGTGAATATTTAGTCTTCAAAATAATAATTTTCTGATTCTGCTTTTTTCTAAAAAGCGGAATCTTTTAGCTTCTTTTCAACTGTAGAAAAATTGTTTTTGCTTCTATTTGAAAGCAGTTTTAAGGAAAACTGTTTTATTCTCAAAAAAAAAAAAACTTTTAACCTCTCAACAGCAATGCCAAACAGACTCTAATTGACAATCAACTAGTTACTTTTTTTTTTTTATACATTTATGATAGCCTTCTCTGATAACTCACCACGTCATCACGCCACATAGGTGCCATGTGGCATAAAGTTGCCTATGTGGAAGCTTACATAGGAAAGAAGACTAGCCTTAGTGGAATAATTTAGAGAAACATAGATAATTTCCTTAGAAGATTATATAATTACATAGAAGGCCTTTGGAAGATTATAGAATTATAGAGTATTCTAGAGAGAGACGTAATTGTAAATATGTAGGGACTTACCTAACAATTATTATTTATATATTAGCCGCAAAGATAGTAGTATAAATAGATGGACAACCATTTGTAAAATCATCAAGCAAAAATCAACAAGTTCTCTACAATACTATATTTCCTATCAATCCGCTTGTGCTCTTTCTTCCATTCTCTTAGCAATTCCTAGAGCTTTAGGCAGATTTGACATAACAAGATCGTAAGTTAAGTGTCAAGTGTTGCACGTAAGCTTAGTGAAAGACTAAGGACGTGACACTTCTCTTTCCTTTACCTCCCTTTGAATTTGGGAAATTACCACACCAACATGTGTAAAATATGACCTAAACTAGGAATGTGCAAATGACGAATCTTGAAGTCACGTTATTTTAACAAATAATAGCATGGGTATATGAGACTTTTCTTAAATGAAAATGGTATGAATCAACCAAACTTTTAAAGAATGATATAAATGAGTCTTTTTTTAAAATTCGGTAATATATTTGAGTCTTTTCCTTTATTTTAGAGAGGAAGAATACAATACTACAGAGATAAAGTTTACATCCAAAGTAGTGAAAAAACATGAGACATATTCTTAAATCACCTTTTGTGTACATACATTTTAGGGCGAAACTAGAATTCAACACAGCCGAACTCAACAACTTTAATTCAAACTTACTAAATATGTACAAAAGTAAAATTCAAAACCCAGTTACTAAAATTTGATGTCGTTGTCCTAGAATTTAGAACCCATACATTATCTATGATAAGAGATACTAACACACAAAAACAAATCACAAACAGAACACAACAGGTGCTGCAACCATGATACCAACAAAACTACTACTATATAAACAAGAGGATACACAATAGAACAATATTTATCCTTTACAAAGTACTAAATAGAAAGTGCACTAATTATTCTAATGTACTGACATAAAGAGGATAGCTACAGTCACACATTTTCTATAACAACCATCGTCTGTGAGACTGACAATATTTTATTATATGTTCTCCTATCACAACATCTTCCTATAGAAATCGAAAAATATTCAAACAAATCACCCTGTTATAGAGAAGCATGACTATATTAACTATTATTGTAATAGGTTTTTGCCACCAGACATAGAGGATTCTTCTTGTGCATGGTCATACCTGGCAAAGTATCGATATCAATATCTTCTTTTACCATCCCATAAGGCAATTCCCAATCAAATGCATAGAGAAGATTGGCGAGCGCGAGCTCCACTGTTGCTACTCCTAGTGAAATCCCGGGACACCCTCTCCTACCACCTCCAAACGGAATCATTTCAAATTCCCCTGACTTGTAGTCGATGCTATCATTGTTGTTTAAATTACAAAATCTATCAGGAATAAACTCGTCTGGATTTACCCAACATTCAGGATCTCTACCTATTGCCCACGCGTTGATAGAAACTGGAGTATTCTGTTTGATTTCATATCCATCTATGCTGCATTTTTCGATTGTTTCTCTTGGTATTAGTGGAGTGGGTGGGTACAATCTCAATGTCTCCTTTATAACTGCCCTGAGATAGGGGAGATTTTGGATATCATCTTCGTCTACTCTTCCTTTTTTCCCGACCAATTCTCTTATACCTTCTTGTAATTTCCTCATCGCGCTTCCCCCCTCCTTCATCAAAGCTGTCATCGCCCACACTAATGCAGCAGCGTTCGTGTCCGTTCCAGCAATAAATATGTCCTGAAAAAGCAAAAATCGCGACACATTTAGTTAAACTCTGTATACTATATATCATCAAATGATCTGATTAATTCTCATAAATAGCTAGATAGAGAAGTGAGAAAACCATTAGCACAGCTTTGATATGATCCCAAGTGAGATTCAAAGACGACGATGATAGATTTTGATCTTTTAAGACAATTAACATATCAACAATATCACCATCCATTGATTTTGGTCTAGTTGAGCTAAGGTGTTCATCAATGAGTTCTTGATAAAACAAGTCTAACTCATTGTAAATCTTTTCGAGTCGAGTAGCCTTTCTTGTGACTATACAATCAATCCAACGTCCGAAAATTGGGAAGTGATCAGAGAGAAAGGAACCTCCGATCATAGCTTGAGCTTCACATAAAAGTTTGCTAAACCTCTTACTTTCATAGCCTTTCTCATCATATCTCTTACCAAATCCAACAATACACGATATGTTGCTCGATAGAGACGACATAATCTCACTTAGATTAACCAATTTTGACGATGATGCAAGTTCTGTTACGCGATTGATCATCCTGGATACTTCATCTTCACGAATTGGACGGAAAGATTGTACCTTTTTGGGACTAAAGAGATGTAAGGTACAAATCTTTTTCATCTCCCTCCAATAATTGTTGTAAGGCGAAAAGGCGACATCCAAGCCGTTGTATGATAACTTTCTTTGGCCAAGATACGATGGTCTACCAGAAAATGCAAAGTCATGAGTTTTTAGAACTTCTTTAGCAATTCTTGCTGATGAAATAACAACTAGTTGGGAAAAACCAAGCTTCATGAACATTAAAGGACCATATTTCTTTGAAAGTTTCCATAGGTATATATGAGGGGATTCTTGATTTAATTGATACAAGTTTCCAAGAAGTGGAAGTCCAGGGGGACTTGGTGGATGATTATGTGTGTATCCAAGTTTTACAAGGAAAATTACAATGAAAGGTATAGCTACTAGGAAGAGAAGCAACATATCCAATTTCCTTCTTGACTAACTTGTGTGAAAGTTACATGGGATGAATGGATTACAATGGATATCCTTATAAATTATAATCTTTGCATGTTATGTGAATCAAATGATACACGAGAGGTGGATTACAGCCAGCAAAATGGAATCGGCAAATTTCCATCATTCATTTTGAATCACAAATTTTAAAAGTCTTCCTTTCTTTCTTAAATTTCGTATCGTGTCAAACTACTTCACATAAAATGAGACGGAAGGAGTAATAAATACGAAATTTTCTGATTGGGAATTCAATGTACTATGAAAAGTCCACAACCGACAAGATTTGCTTTATGTGTGGAAAACTATTATAACAACCAGGGACGGCTCAAACCCATTGGTGGCCTAAGGCCAAAATCAAAATAGAGGCCTTAAAAAAATAATATATAAATGTTTTTATTTTAAATCTATTTTTCTAGTTTTTTGAGATGCAAAGTTGTTAATAATTTTTGTGTAGTCAATCTCTTCTAATAATTCATTTTCAATCGATAATATAGCCAAACCACTTAATCTTTCTTGAGACATTGTCGATCTTAAATAAGATTTTATTATTTTTAATTTTGAAAAACTTTTTTCGGCTGAGGCGACTGTTACGGGAATTGTTAACATTATTTTATAAGCAATGTAAGCATTTGGAAAAGAATCAAGTCTTTTTATTTGATTGAGTATCTCAATTAGAGTATTGTCTTCTACTTTTATGATTTCCCTTAACACTTTTAATTTAGAAAATAAGTCTAAACCATCAATATCGGAGTGAGTATTATGTTTTAAGGAACATTCAAGATTAAGACAATATTTTTTTAAATTCTCATCATCTAATGATCTCAAGTTTTTCCCACTAAATAGAAAACCAAAAATATTTTCATATACTTCAAATTGTTCAAATCTATTTTGAAGTGAAAAGATGGCTTGGTCAACTATGTATAAGAAGTAATCAACTCTAAATGATTCTTCAAGAGATCTTGTGATTTCATTAACAACATTCTCATCAAATTGTTTTTTTCTATAAATTACACATTTCTTACGAAATACAGGCTCAATATTCATCTCTAATGCAATTTCCTTAGCCGAAATCATAGCACTTGTAAATCCTTCTTCTCTATATGTTTTAAAAAAAGAAACTAAACCTCTTAATTGATCTATAGCGACATCAATATGCATATCTTTTGATTGTAAACTTTTGCTAATTGAATTTACAGCAAATAGTACATCATACCAAATAGTCATACCCAATAAAAATTCAAAATTTTCAAGCTCAAAAATTGCTAAACAATTAGCTTCACTTTTAATTTTTGGATCATCACTAACTTCTTCTAATTTAAATAAAGCATCTCTTATTTGTGGAGTTTGAAATCTTATTGCTTTAACACTTTCAATACGACTTTCCCACCGTGTTTGTGACAATGATTTAAGAGTTAAACTAGGTACACTATCTTTTAAAATTTTCCACCGCTTAGTAGACGAAGAAAATAGTGAATATATACGTTGTACCACTCCAAAGAATGAAATAGCTTTCGTACAAGAATTAACCATATCACAAAGTACCAAATTTAGATTATGACAACCACATGGTATATAAAATGATCTAGGATTTATATCAAGAAGTCTTTTTGCACTCCTTGGTGTTTTCCCTTCATATTAGACCCATTATCATATCCTTGTCCTCTTAAATTATCAATATCAAGTCCAATTCATTTTATTTCATCTAAAATAACTTCAAAAAGACCTTTTCCACTTGTATCATCCACTTTTAAGAATTCTAAGAAATATTCGGTTACATTTATTGGAGTTTTCGAAATATCTACACTCCGTATTATAAAAGACATTTGGTCTTGATGACTTGTATCTGGCGTGCAATCAAGTATGATAGAGAAATACTTTGTTTTTATAACTTTTTCAATAATTTTGTTCTTAATTTCACTTGCCAATAAATTTATTAATTCATTTTGTATATTATGTCCAAGATAATGATTATGAATTTCATCATGTTTGATTCGTCAAATATGTTCTTGCATAATTGGATCAAATTCTGCAATCATTTCAATAAGACTCAAGAAATTTCCGTTATTTTCTTGATAGATTTTTTCATTTTCCCCCCTAAATGCCAAATTATTTCTTCCAAGAGTTTTTATGACGGAAATAATTCTTGACAATACATTTTTCCAATGTTCTCTATCTCTATTAATTTGGTCTTGAATGTTTTCATCGATTGTTTTATTATTACGCAATCTAAATTCTAAATCAATCCATGAACTCATATTAATAATATGTTGGCTAGTTGTTTCATGGGTTCTAAGCTTAGTAGTAAGATTTTTTCAATCTCTACTACCTTCATTAGCTAACTTATTATTCTTTGCATTAAAGGTCGTATTAAATAACTTACAACAAAAACAAAATACCTTATTCAAATCTTTGGAATAAACTAACCATCTTCTTTCATGTCTTTCTCCATTTGCCAACTTTTGAAAATAATATGTAGTAGAAAAGTACCTTAAAAATTTATCCTTTGGAAAACATGTGTCGATAATTCTAATTGGTCCCTTTTCTACTAAAAAGTCTCTTAACTTTGTATCAACAATATTCCATTGACTAGGATCATAGGTATTTTTAGGAGTATGATTATTTAATTCATTTATAAGTTCTTGATTTTCTTGGGAATCTACATCCGACTTTTCACTAATTTCCTCTCCTTCTTCTTCTTTTTGGTTTATATCATTATCTAACTCAACTTCAACTAAGTTTGTAACTTGTTCTTCTAAAGAGCATTCCCCTACCTTTTTTGATTAAATTTTATCATTGTTTTCCAAAAAATTATCAAGAGCACCTTTTTGAGATTTTATCAAGTTATCGACTTTTCTTTTTCTTTTAAGTTTTGAATGACCGGATTCATATTTTCTAGTTGACATATTAAAATCTAACAAATATTTTAAACACTATTTACAATATCAAATAAAAAATATAATAAACATAAGACACAAAACAAAAATAATATTAGAAATTAGAATGATATTACCAAATTCAAAAGCTATGAAGACTTGATTTCCGAAAATGAATCGGGCTGCTGCAATATAGTTTTCTCCAAATTTAAAATATAAATTATCAATAGAACAAGTAAATTTTTTTTAGCTTTGAATAAGAGAGAGATGTAAGATTAGAAAAGAGAAAGTGAGAAGAAATAGAAGGGAGGAGGATAGAATATATAAAAATAAAATTAGAAAAAAAATAAGGTAAAAAAAAGAAGATAACTTGTAAGTTAAAAAAAAAGTACACAACTTTTCAACTTTTTATGGGAAAGTTAAAAAGTCATAGTCATATCTATGACTATCACTTCATTTAGCCGTTTAGACTTATTGACTTAGCTCTAACAATTTTTTTTTTTTTTAAATTTAATCTTTCCTAATTAACTAAAGAATGAGGCCTTTGCGTTTATTGTCTTAGTTCTAATATTTTTTTTTAAATTTAATCCTACCTAATTAACTAAAAAATGAGGCCCCCAATTAGGACTTTTTTACAAGCCTTGCCAGCCGCCCCTGATAACAACTTTAATAATTAAAATGGGTAGAGAAAAAAGTTAAATGATATTGACTAGCATTATTAGTTGAGACATGAACCCTATTAGTTTAGCATCAAAATAGACATCAGTAGACTTGAGACTTAGACTTTTCTTATAAATTATTACTTATGTTAGGCCCCAATCAATAATATCATTGGAAAATTATTAGTCCTTGTGAACCCTACTCTCTCCATCTCTCATAAATAATCGCTCCTAATAAGAAGAAAAAGTGTTTTTATTAATATATTCAGTGGCAGAGCCACCTTACTATTAGGGGGTTCATCCTAATTCCCTTTGGTGAAAAATTATATAATTTATACATGATTAAAATAACGTTTTAGGTATATATAGTAGATGTCGAACCCCCTTTGGCTACTTCGTGTGTCTATTTTTTCAGATTTTGAATCCCCTTTATGAAAATCCTGATTCTGCCACTAAACATATTAGGGACGAGTTGACATATTTAGTCTATGATTGGTGTCAAATTGAAATGTCTAGATATACATTTTTAAAATTAGAATGCTTACTTATCAGGTAACGTTAAGAAGTCTAGAATAAAGACATTGTTGTTATGTTTGTTTGTCTTTTTTCCTTTTCGTTTTTTTTTTTTTTTTGTTATTTTGGCTTTCTCTATCTGCATACATCATTCATGACAAAATTTATGCCTAATGCCAACAACAGCCATATCCGCTGCATAAGTTAAATTATCTGATGGATCATGTTATTATCCAAAACTATATTTTGTCCAAAATGTTCAAACTCTGCCGTTTATGATATTTTCCCCTTTTTACTTAACTTTTTTTGGAATAACACATTTTAATATTTAGTTAGACTTATATTTTAGGAAAAACTATATAAATGGGCCATAAAACTCAAAATAATTACATGTTCATACCATAATTCGAAGTAATTCAAGAAGTACCCATTCTCTCAAAAAATAAAATAAAAATACAACACATACCCCACATTCATTAAGGCTGATAATTTTTGCATTGGTATCATTAAGACTGATAATTTCGGTTAACTGATACTAAATAAGTATATATATACTGTATTGGTATCATTAAGGTTTCTTGTTCCGAAATTCCGAAATTACTCATTAATCAATGATACTATAAGAGTATATGTATATTGTTATGGTATCATTAAGATTTCTTATTTAGAATTACTCATTAGTCAATGATACTATAAAAATATATGTATATTGTTGTGGTATCATTAAGATTTCTTATTCAGAAATTACTCATTAGTTAATGATACTATAAGAGAATATGTATATACTTGTGGTATCATTAATGTTTCTTGTTCAAAAATAACTCATTAGTCAATGATACTATAAGAGTATATGTATATTGTTATGGTATCATTAAGATTTTTTGTTCATAAATTACTCATTAGTCAATGATACTATAAAAATATATGTATATTGTTGTGGTATCATTAAG